CACAAACCTGCATCCCCTGCATTGGCAGGCGGACTCCCAACCACTGCGCCACCAGGGAAGCCCTGGACATTTTAAATAATAGGATAACTGTGGAATTAGATTTACTAACCCCTTTGCCAAGGTTTTGATGTAGTTGCTGGTTTTTGTTTATCTAGCAAGTCATATGAACTAATTCTTTAAAGTCTATTAGATAGACACTGAAGTCTTGCTCAGATAGTTTCTTAGTGAACTAATGATTGGACAGATATTTCCTTAAACACCTGAAACCAGTTAACTCTCACAGTCTTTGCTGACGGCTTTGTGTGCATGTTGGGACACACTTCAACACTCAGCCAGGAAGTTGACAGCTCTGCCTTCACCTTCAATTTCTGCTTGGGCAGATCATCAAGATCAACCTAAGGTGGCAGTTTAGGATGTCCCCAGGTCTTTCCTGAACAGGAGTAACAATCCTTGGCTTGAGCAACGTCTTTGGCATGTGCATGCACATGACCATCTAAATTCCCAGGAATGGCAGAGCGTTTCCAAAGCCTCTATGAATATCTCATTCCTCAGCTTTTCCTTTTTTAAGTTTATTGTTAGCCTGTTGTTTGCTCCAATGTTTATTCACTACTTCAGGCAGCCACAACTGCTTATGATTTTTTTTTTCATTAAATTTTTTTTTTTCCCTGTGGAAAAGGCTTTTCATACCAGGCAAGCTCTGATCAGAAAAATAAAGACAGCCTTGCAAGTGAGGTCTTCCAGGGAACCACCAGACAGTTCTCTGGGAATGAGGCTTTGAAGGAGCTCCAACCCCACTCTGCCCCTTCCAGTGGCTTCTACGCTGCTGCTTCTACATTACGGACTGTTGCTTTTCAAGGATAAGCAGAGCTGGAAATGGGCAGGGGGAATGGAAATAGGACTAGTTAAAATGCCACAAAGCTTACTGTTCTTACTGAGATTCAGCTATTTCTCTTGCATAAATATTCCTTGGGTTGCTATGAGGTTAATTTCCAGAGTTCTGAAAAAAGTTGATTCTGACAATCTTTGCAAATTTTCTCCTTGTCTTTACGGAGAGGAGAATTTTCAGAGGTACTTACTCCCCCATTCTGGCTGGCTTTAAGTATTTAATGTCCTTTTATTTTTCTTAGCAAAATGAATCTGGTTAAAACAATAAAGCCACCACCATTGACATTTCTAGGCATTCGCATGGTTCAAGCTCAACTATTCTATAAACAGCAGTATCTGTGAGAACAACTAAACGGGATATAGTATGAATTATAGAAAATGTCCACACTACAAATGAATGGTGCCAAAATGTTTCAGTAGGCAGACTCAGAGTATTAGAAAAATTTTTCATTATATAAAAAAGAAAGAAGGAAAGAAGGGAGGGAGAGAGGAAAGGAGGGAGGGAGGGAGGGAGGAAGGAAAGAAAGAATGATCTTGGATTACTATAGTCTCAAAATTGCTATGAGAAGCAAAACCTGACAGGTAACAAGCATAATCCACACTCTGCTGTAAGATGAATTGGGGGAGGGGGGGGCGCAGAAACCTGGCCAACCCTTGCAAGTCTCTTAATTACATATAGAAATGACCTCCAAATGCTCCACCTTCTGTCCAGCCACCACACTGGACTGCCAGTACATTTCTGTCTCTGATGTACAAGGGACCATATAGTCATGCTTCAAAGAGAATATCCTAGGCTGTAAAGCAATCTCTTTTCCTGACCAAGGATAGCACTCACTCAGCTATGATCAATTCCTTTGCTAGGACACTTGCATCACTTTCAGATCTATTGGCTAATAGCACAGGGAGGTACTTCCTGGGTAGGGATAGTGAGATTTGAATGATTTTTAGATAGACATGTAGTTATTTTCAAGAATACAGACTTATAAAAATCCCATCAGTTTAAGAGAAGGCACGATATTCACTTAATTCCTGGAGAAATGTAGAAGAGCCTCATTAGGAGCAAACAATAGTTGGTGGAAACCACAAAAATAATAAAATCATAATAAAATGTCCAGGGTTAGGTAAGGATACATTTTAAAACAAGATTCCTTATTTTTAAATAATATTACAAGTCTATGAAATGAATTTACATCTCAATATTTAATTACATCAGATTGCATTAGTTAGGAATCCATGTTCATAAATCATTTGAATAAAAATGTTTTGATTTCTCCTGAAGCAATGTATCGTGTTTAAGATGAACATGTTTGATTTTTCAATTCAGGGAACAGAAACCTAATTTTACTATTAATGGTTTCTAAAATTGGCTTTGAAAGAGATTACAAAATAGGTATATATTTTAGGGAAAACTGTGCAAAGCCTCGTAAGCTGACTGGTATTGAAGGCTTTTTTCTTAGACTGTAAACATTTTAATGCTTAATGTGGAAGAAAAGTGAGAGGTACCTTAAACTAGGCAGACAAGCCAGTGTGAAAGGTTTTAGTGAGTGTTGAGTACGTTGACTAAAAGATGTTTAATGCAGACCTTGCTTTTCCAGAAAGGAGGGCCAGGTAACAAAGCAGTTCATCATTCTTTTCTATTAACCAAAATGTATCCTCCACTAGCCAGGACTCTTTTGTATTGATCATTTTAAAAAATGTTAAAGTGTGCTCAAAATATATATTTTATTCATTGAAGATGCAACATTTCATTCATCTACACAATGTTATGTAATTGAAGATTTTGGTATGGTAACAATTGGGCATTTTGAAGAACACTGATAGGGTAATCCACTTTAAATGGACCCCCCCCCTTGTACTATATCATAAGAAGGCCTATGCCCAACAGGGTATCCTGTATTTTAAAATTTACCATTAACCACATATCAGATTACTGATGTAAACTTACCTGAACAAACTGTATTTTCCAAATAACTCACTTTTTTGGGCATTATTATAATTGCATGAATTATTTCTCTACCTAGTATAACCATTGCTCAAGAAAACATATATATAGTAACTTTAGAATTTTCTGCAAAGCTCTGGACACAATTAAATATTTAGACTGTAGGCAAATCTTCTCCAGTCTACAACACTTCTTTATAATATCAAAAGACATCAGTGAATCCAGTACAAAATTTTTATAATGAACAGCACCAAAGAAGCCAAATTATAAGTTTCATTTCTCATCAATTAAGCTGGGTGCTGCATCAAGGATTAAGGCTGAGACCACCCAAAGGTTGTCTGCCTAGCCCACTGCTGGTGTTCAACACACATTGCTTGTACAGAGGCTGTTTGGATTGTAAGTGTCTTTGTAAAATTTCAAACAAGTTAAAAGTATTACACATCCTTATCTCAACAGAATCCTGAATATCAGGTTAGCAAATTTCATAGTTCCATTTTAAGACATATGATTGTAGAGGGTAAAGTAGAAAGATGTTGAAACATATTACTGTCACTTAAATGATAGGTAGCAGCCACATAGGCCTGAACCACATTTGTGAAATTTCATGCCACATTTTTCACCTCCCAATTTATATACATGGAGGGGTTACACTAAAACTTCAATTATTCCAAAGGATGAAAGAAGTGTTACATTTTGATATAGATCTTCAGTTTCTATTATACCATAAGCCTTTGAAATATTAAGGCTGAAGAGGCCAAGTTATGAAAGGGACAAGAGGAAGTAAGAACAGTGGAAATACAGCTGATAATGTTCTGCCTTCACCATTCTATGTGGATAGTCTGCTTTCCAGGCAGCAGGTGGTGTGACTGTGAAAAGATCACACATTTGTCAGTAACTATGTAGGATTTTTAGCACTGTTAGAGCCTAGCATTACAGATTTAGGGCAGCTAATAAAATTCCATAAACCAAATTTTTGACAAGTCTGAAATTTTTTGAAAATAATTTTCCTACCAAGTAAAACTTCTTGGTTCCCTTTTAGTCCCGTCTCAGAGAAAACTATGTATAATTAAACTTTTTTAAAAAAGTAAAAATAAGAATCACTTCACAGCAACCAGATGAACATCTGGCAGCAAAGCAATATTAAAATGCCATCCTTTCAAAGGAAGAGCAAGTATGTGAGTCCTCCATTAAGAGCATTATCTTATGTCAGAGCATAATCTCACACTTTCCATTTATGGCCTTTTTGCAAAAGTCCAAGGCTGAATTTGGACCTGCTTTTTCCTGTGTTTTCTCAATGTTTTCTGGACAACAGTGTGTCAAGTACATAAGAAACCTAAGGTCAAAATGAAGATGATCTAATGCACCAGGTATTTAAATAAATGTGCACAGGCTGTACTTAGAATCACCTTGCTAAAAACTAGTAGCAGAAGTAGCTGAAGCCTGTTTGTCATATGTAACAAAAATGTTTCAAAGTCAATATAAATTTAACCATAACCCATCTAACAAAAAACACCAGAGATCATATATTAATGTGTTTTTTCTCTCCCTTTCTCAGTAGCCAGAAAATGTTTAAATCTAGAAAGAAAAGGATCAGATCTTTTAAAGCCTCATATGTCCCTCTTCTCATATAAAAAAATCTTATCAGGAAATTAAAAATTCAAAAATTATTTTTCTGTAGTTTTTCAAAATAAGTGTGTATTTCATTTATAATCTACAGTTTTATTTTTAAAATCCCCTCACAAAAGTCTCTTAATATGTTGCAAAACTTTATAAACAAGGTTGTAACTTTCCAGAGGGTGTGTGCCAGGACCCTCATGAAGCCCCTACTGGAGTCTAACTTGGAAGCCAATTCAGGCACCCGCCCCCCCTCCCACCCCTCCCCCCCCCACTGCTATTCAATACTATTGAGGTCACAGGGTTTACTGAAATTTGTTAAAAACATGGAGGATAACCTCTGGGGAATAATTCTCTGGGGAAAGAAAGAGAGATGAGAAGATTACAGATACCATTGAAAGTATGTATGTTCAAAAGTTAATTTGGTTATATTATCAAATTACAGTTCTTCAGGGAGCTTAAACTTGCTCTAAATTAGATTTGGGGAGGCACATCAAACTAAACAGTCTGCATAAGAGACTCACTGACATAAAAGAAAAACACGGAAGACAAAGGGTTCTTAATTTGGGGAAGGATATATTCCAACTTGGGGGAAGGGTGAAGGCATTTCAGCTCTGAAGCTCGATCATGACATTTCCAGAGTCCTGCAGTCCCCAAGCATGACAGGACAGATCGGAAGGGCCTGTTGGGCCTGGCTGGACTCTCCTGTCCCTCTGTCACACTGTGCGATATGCAGGCAACTGCAGTGTCAAGCTGGCAACACTCCTGAGGCTCTTGAGTGTTTATCAACTCAGTAGGTCAAAAGTCTGCAGACACTGGGTGGAGCAGCAGTAAGCCACAAAACTCACAGTTGTCCTCCTGGAAGGGGAAAGAGGGGGAGAAGGACACTGTGAGTTCAAAAGGAAAGTCTCAGAATTCTTTCCATTAGAGATAGTCTTTTCCTTTGTTAAAATAAAGGATTAGGATGGTCAACAGAGTACACAACAGAAATATAAATTCCTTTTAAAACTGAGCACTGGAATCAGGTGAGGTATGTGTGTGCTTATTTTATTAGCAGTTTTCAGATGACGCAACATCCCTATGTTAGCAGCAAAGGAAAAGTAAGCTTTTTCCATATTACAGTCTGAATTCGGCTTACTAGAACCAGTGCAATGACAGAATTTGAAATACGTTATAAAAGTCATGTAATAGAAAAAGTCACCAATTTAGCTAGAACACATATATATCGAAGCTTAAAAAACATAATTTTAATGAATTTATCCTACAAATGTATGCCCACAGATTGCTTATAGAGGTAATTTCAGAATCTGAATCATGTAGTTTGAGGGTCTTCTCCCACACAACAGAGGAATCCCATCTCAGACTCCTGCTTGGCATCTTTCTGCAGCGAGTCATGAGCCCTCTGATCCCAATCTGGGCAGCTCCAGTTGTTGGATGCCTTGTTTTCCCACCAGAAGTGCTATCCTCTGGTGAGGAGAGATTAATCTACTGTTGTTTTCACAGGACCCCCTGTGCTGACTGTTTTCTCTTTTCTCCACCCCTCAACTCAGTCTTTGCCTTTCTCTGTAATCCAAGAAGGTGACCTCTACAGACCCAACCTCCAAAGCTGCCTGATTGCTGGTTTCAGGCTGAATTAGGACAAGGGAGTATATAGCAGGAGGGTAAAGGGCAGGAAGAGAGAAAAGTTGAATATTTTCTTTTTCTTCTTTTTTTATAAAAAGTCTAGTTAATAGAGGTATAGTTACATACAAACATACAATAAAATTCACCCATTTTAAGTGTACAGTTGAATGAGTTTTGAAATATATGCAATTATTTAACTAACACCACCATCAAGATATAAAATACTTCTCATATCCCCAAATGTTCCTTGTGTCCACTTGCAGCCAACCCCCATCCCCTAAACCCCCTGACAAGTCTCTGGTAACCATTGATAATTTTGTTTCTCCGTGGGCTTTATTTTTCCCTGGGCCACCATGATCCTCCAAAAAAGGCTTTGCCATTATTTCATCTTGGATGATCAAAGATCTCAAGGCAAGAGCTAGACCTACTTCTATGGGTTCTCTTGCCTTAGATTTTTGTACTAATCCAGGATTCCCTTACCAACTGGTTCCAGCTAGCTCCCCTGGATGGACCCTCCTGTATGGCTCTAGTTCTCACTAGGCTCCAGTCACACTCAACCAGGCAGTTGACAACTCTGCCTTAGCCTTCACTTCCTGCTTGCACAGAGTCTCACTTCCTGCAAGCAGAGGTGAGAGCTCAGGGCCTTCTTGGGTCTTTTCTGAGCATGCTCACATCCTTTTGCATGCACATGACCTTACATACTCCTAGGAATATGTTAGTGCTTTTCAAAGCCCCCATGGAAACCTTAGTCTATTGTTTGTCCCAACAGTTACCCACTGCCTCAGGCATCTGTGAAGTTAAGCAATTGCCTATAATTGTTTTGACAATTTTTGACAAATACCCTCAGAGCAGAGGCTTTTTGCACTGGTGATCTCTGACTGAGGAAATAAAGACAGGCTTGCAAGTAGGGTTTTTCAGTGAAACACCCTTTGAAGATGCTCCAACTTCCTTCCACCCCTTTCCAGTTGTTGCCCGGCTGCTGGTTTTAACTGTGATGGCAGATTCTTGGTTTTCAAGGTTAAGACTAGAAGATGGGACTATAGGTTAAAATATCACAAAGGTCTCTGTTCTTTTTGAGATTCAGTCACTTTTGTTGAATAAATGCACTCTGGATTGCTGTAAGCCTTTTGTTAATTTCCAGAGTTCTGAAAAATTAAATTCTGACAAGTTTTGCCAGTTTTTTCATTGCTTTTATGGAAAGGTTGACTATTTCTATCCCACTCCATCTCTACATCTCTGACCAGAGCTTTTATTGGGCAGCCCCTCCTGTTGGTTCTAAGTCTCAACAGCCTCCGGATCTTCCTTTGTCCTTCATGCTAAAAGATTAAGAACGGTAAACCTTCCTACTGCTGTAAGTTCCCAGGTACTTTATCATCCTTGTGGGTGCTCTGAACCCTGCCTGAACTTCTGTAAATAGTCATTCTCCATTAATTTCTCTTCAAAATCCCAGCTTCTGTGTGTTTTCCGGCCAGTACCCTGATTGATTTAGTAGGGAGTAGTCTAAGGAAACAGTCCATCAAAGTGGGATTCTGGGATTGGGTTGGTAAGTGCATGAATGACCTCATTACCAGGGAAAAATGGGACATCACTGATTACTCGAAGTTGTGGTATCACAATTACTCAAATTATCACTAAGACTGCCAGTGGAGGGTAAGGCACTGGGAGATCAAGTGCTGTGGCACTTGACTGCTGTGGCATCATGGTGAATTCAAAGATTGTGGAGGGAGATGGCTTCTTTTGACTACTTTAAAAGATTCCCCCAAATCCCAACCCCCTTCCAAAAAAAAAAAAAAAAAAAAAGATAAGCTTAGTGCCTTCTTGAACTCTCAACTCAAGGCATAGGTAGAGAATCAGAAAGTTTCTATGGTGGCTTTAAAGGAATTCTTATTTTATGAAGCTGTGGGAGGGACATGCCTGAGGCCTGAATGTGCAGGCTGCAGAATCACATGCCAGGTAAAAGTATACTTATGCTAAGTTTCTTACGCTAAGGTAAAGGTTCTTGTGGGAAGGGGTGAGGACTTAAGAATTGAGATGGAAACCTTTTTGTAGACACAAAGCTAAGGACCTTAAACCTCTAATATCTCTAAACATTTCTTCACATCAGAAAAAGCCCTTCTTACTATCTAAGAAAACAAGCATTCACTTGAATAAAAAGATTTCACTGACTTCATCTGGTGTGGTTACCTAAAAAGGAAATTCCTATCTTCTTCAGGCAGGAACAATACTCACTGCCTCTAGGGCCACAGAGAGAGCAAAATCCCAGCATGATTCAGAGAGTTAATTGCAAGGGCTGCTCCTGGGAGAGATTATGTACATGAAGGAGTTGTAGAATCTTGCCAAATTTTATTTGCAGAAATCTGGAGAGTAAACATGGAAATGGAATCTAAGTATAATACATTAGCCAGTGAGAATAAGTCTAAGGTTGGATCAGGCCAAGAAGGGTGTTTCACGAGGCCTCAGCGTTTAATGTGTTAGTATGAGTACCTATAATGGTTAATAGAAGTCTTACTTCAGTAGAGGCCTACAGTCAATGAGACAGAGATGCTAGAACTTCCACTGCACAGTCTAGAGGGAGGAGATCAAAGGCTTAGAGAAATGGGAATGTTGAAGTGGATCCAATGTGGCCTAACCTGCTGAGCCACCACCTGGAAACCTCTGGGAGGGTCAGGAAGACAGTCCCTTCACTAAGACATTAATATATGTATTGGTGAGGGGAAATCAAACTGGAAGTAGCAAGCACACCTGATACTTAATATGACACATGCCTACTAGAGGTGAGAGAGAAAGCCTGCAAAAGCTCAGGTGTCTGCTACATTGGTAAAGTTTCAAGCAGAAAAGAAGAGTTACATCCAGAACTGCCCACTTGAAGAAACAGATACACACTTGTGGGTCCCTTTGGATTTTGGAGGCAAAACACATTTTGGGAGCCCCAATCTTCCAAGGTCCTTTCTCTTACAACTAAAACACCCTGGTCATAATACAACAAACAAGCATTGGAAGACTCTGAAAGACATAATGAAGATAGGCAGACTATGACCCTGGGACTTGAGAAGCAACACAGCAATGGTAAACTCCCGAGGCTTCCTTATTGCCTCCCATATACTTCAGATAGGATGCTGTAGGAACTTCCAACCCAGAACCACCAACAGGCAGAGTCAAAAAACCAAAAGAAAAGAAAACAAAACACAACAAAAAAAAGAACCCCCCCAAAAAACTCCAAGAAAAGCCTGTTATCCCTATCCAAAGGATCAGGACAGAGAAATCCATCAATTTCTATAGAAAGTAAATAACTAGTTGCTTAGGGCTAGGTATGGGGAAAGAGAGAGGTGATAGATAAAGGGTACAAGGTTTCTCTTAGGGTGAGAAAAACGTTCTAAAATTGTCTGTGGTATTAGTTGCATGTTATCTGTGACTACAGTAAAAACTGCTGATTTGTATACTTTAAATGGGTGAATTGTATGATACGTAAATTGTCTCAATAAAGCTGTTAAAAAATAATAGCACTGAAAGGAGAAATAGATAAACTCACAATTAGAGTGGGAACTTCAACTTCTTTACTCTTAGCAACTGGTAGAACTACCAGACAGAAAATCAGCACAGGTGTAGAAGAACTGAACAACTCAATGAACCAAAGAATCGAATTGACATATACAAAACACTCCACCCAACAGCAACAAAGTACACTTTTTTTTTTTTCTAAAAGCCCATGGAATATTCACCAGGACAGACTATATTCTGTGCCAAAGAACAAGCCTCACAAATTTGAAAGAATTGAAATTATATACAGAGAACACATCTGGTTTCATCTCTGACATAAAGAGCCTAGAAGTCCTCACTCCTGTTCTTACAACAAGAACAAGCTGAACAAATTGAAAATCAACTTTTCTCCACTCACCAGAGAACTGAGGTCATAGGGCAAACTGCAACTTCAAAATCTGGTGAGACAGGTACCTCCAGAGTCACAGCTGAGACTTGCTTACCTGGACAGAAGATGCTAGAATTGCTGGAGGCTGAGTGTGGACAAGCCTGAGAGTGAGATACTCCTGAGGCTGCAATGTTAGGGTGACACACACATTCTTAGGTTTTACCTACAGAAACCCTACAGGCTATCATGGTGAAAATCCGTAAAAGATCCCCTTGTTGCTCATTCAGGAAGAGAAAAAGAGTAGTCATTATGTAACATGTCCAGAGCATCCTCCATAACAAAGGACAGTTCTCCAGAGAAGGATTACCAG